ATAAAAAAAAAAAATATTTCTACTGGATTCGAAATTCGAGCCCAGTACCACTAAGTGGATTCGAACCCAGAACGTCATGCTTGTAAATAAAAAAAAAATAATAATAAAAAGATTTGACCAGCCGCGGTATCGAACCCAGGACTTCTCGCTCGGTATGCATAAAACGCCTGCATTGAACATTTGCAGCAAATGCATCCCTTTGTGCAGCACAATTCATAGAAAATTCCAGAAACTCTTTGTTAGTGTATCAAAACAACAAATGAACAGTTGTTTCTGTGAGCTGCATGGAAAATTTAGTTTTTTTGCTGCGTTGCTTTTGTGCAGTTCTTTCGCTTTGGCCAGCCAAAGCCGAAAAAAAACACTCAAAAGACTCGAGCGGCAAACTGACCGCTGTTAAGTTACGCTGTTAACTTAACAGCGTTTGCTGTCTGGCAAGGATTGATTGCGCACATACTTATCAGATTTTGTAAATCAAACAAGTTTGGCCATATTAACATACACACACGCACACACACACAAAAATCTGAAGACGCGTCTTCAATATGCAAATTCGAATTATTAAACAAAATATTTCTGGTTAAGCTTATGCATAATAGATGTGCGTATATGCATACATACATACATATATATAAATCAAATTTACACTATAGAAAGCCATGGATTTGCATATATATATACTTATATACATACGTATTTTTTGTGGTTGCAAAAGTCCCATGTGAAGCGAATCAGAGTTGGGTAGTAGCTGAAACGAAAGCGAAAGTCTTTGTAGCCGGCAAACAGCTGTGAGGCTTGACTTTTGACCAGTCTGTCATCAGTTGCGTCCTAACAGGTTCTAATATTTATGCCGCTTGCGATTCCTGTGGAGAGCTTCTCACGCTTTGCATGCCATAAATTTCACTGCCTTTCACTCTAAATCATTTGCGGCACTTAATTGTGTGCATTTCAATGCGTATTGCGTGCCATTTGCAATCAGCTTCGTTACCTCTACTTGTTTTTGCAATTCTGTGCCAGTTTTCAGTTTTCACGTGAAAAGCGAATCAATGCGAAATGGAAATGCAACGCTCTGTTTAGCATCACGGCAAAATTTCACACCAACCATAAAGGCCGGTGCAAGTGCGTATTGCAAACAATAAAAAGTCTATAAGTTTTATATGCACAGCAGCATATAATATAGAGGAATTGGCCCGGCTTTGCGCGAACTTTGCACAGTTTGTTGAAGGCGAGAAGTATAATAACTTTTGAAGAACGCAACTTTATACTTGTACATTAATATATGTATATACATACAAAGATAATGCTGTTTTTAATTAAATTAGGTGTGTCTTTGGGTATTATTTTGTTGTCAGACTAAGTCGAGTTACTACCTTAAATTCATCAAACTTTTCAAACTTCATTTTCAGCAATTGCAAAAATTTTGACCGAGTCTGTTATGAATCATTCCTGAATTTTTAATGTTATCCGATCGTTAACATTTTTACCTGTTTGTATTTATTGCAGATTGCAATTTAGATATTCTTACCCACAATATGGTATCATTGATATGTCTTCTGAATTTCGTGCAGATCTCAGCTGGCTATAGCTATTGCCATTTGAAGCTTCTAAATTGTTCTGTAAAGTTCCACGATGCAAATTAGGCAAGATCAAACTTCAAGAACTGATCTTGATCAACTACATTTACTTCAATTTTATTTTCAGTTTTTTTTTTTCTTGTTTAATGAGTGCATTGACTGGCGGCCATTTTGTGTGTTGTGGCTTTCGAAACCGTTATACCAATTGAATATCAAATCGGTCAAGTTAACCTTCACTACGATTGCGACGGCGACGGCGACCACGACGGCGATGGCGACTGCGACAATGCGGCGTCGAGCAGCACAGCAAGTTCGTGTCTTAAGTCTTTTGTTTTTACACACACAAATTGAAAGTGAAATTTCATTGTTATTACGCTTGTTCGAGTTGTTGATGTTGCTGATGTTGTTGTTGTTATGCTTTTGCTTTTATTTTGGTAATTTATGAAAAAGAAAGGCACTCACTGCCAAAAACAACAACAACAACAACAACAACAACAACAACAGCAATCAGACTTTGTTGATAAGAAACGTGATTTAATTTTTAGTTGAAAATTATGAAAAGCATATGTTGGACAGTTTTCACTTTTCGTTGGTAAGGCAAGGCAATATGCTATGAGGAAGAATTTACATTAATTCTAAAATACAATTTTTTGCTAAATTTAAATAAGTAGGAATTGTATATAAATTTAATTTTTTTCTAAGTCAAGTTTAAGGCACAGCTAAAATACTTTCTATGACTTACAAATTATTTTTAGGGTATCAACTCTTCGATTTCGTCAATCGCTCTTTAGACTCAGCTTCCTTGCATTGTTGAGCAGCCTCACAATAAAGTCGCTTTCGTTGTCAGTTGGCGGCTTGTTCACCCGGTAGTCAATTTCTTATACATTTTTTTTTTGTAGGTTTGTTCGCAACCTCTTGTCAGATTAGATATGGTGCACGCTTTAATTATATTATGATTGATGAGAGGCCAAAAGCATGACGCGGCGCTTTTTATGTCTGCTACCGGATATGTTCTAATGAAATCAAGAGCTTTTTTATGCAGACAACCGAGTCGAGAAATGATGTATATATGTATATTTAGAGGGTCATAGTACGAATAAGACAATCCCACAATAAACACAATGGGTATGATGATCTTTATTTGCGTATATGAATCAAGCGAAGCTCTGAACATTTTATCACTTGAGCAACACGATAATCTAAGTCGTATGTTTAGCATAACTGGGCCAGCTGCATATATCATTAGATACACGTGTATTTCAAGGGAGGAACCCTGTTGAAGTACTCTCACTCTCTGAGTCGGTTCCACAAGCATTTAAACTAAACAAAAATTCACTTTAATATTAAAATTCAAAGAAAACATTTCTAGAACCAGCAACTATAGAGTGAGTGCGAATCGGAGTCCCATGCCACAACTGTAGAGTGCATAGAGTTCGGTGTCTAGTCCTGTTTGTGCTTACTGCTGCTGCTGTTGCATAAGGTAGACGTATCTGATTTGATTGTCTCCGTAGAGGCTGATGGCTCAACAGTCACTTCAACCACTGTGGTCTCAGATCCGGCAGGATTATCAGCCATGTCGTCGTTAAGGATGCAGATCGGCGCCCGCCTATTCATACCATCAGCCACAAGCGAGACTCCACCGCAGGCTCGACATCTGTGGAAATGAGGTTGACTCAAATGATAGGCCTAGAAGTGGGTCAAAGGCGGCTTACTGGACTGCGGGTTGTGGTGGTCCAGGATACATCTTGTTGTACAGGCATATCAATCGATGGGACACATAGAGAGTGGGCAACAGGATCAACGCACTGAACAGCAGGCCCACCCAGAAGCCATTCTAAGAAGAAGAAGCGCAACAAAATCAAATATGAGATATATTTCCGACGACGCTCGTTACACTCACCATGGGATAGACAAGACGACGACAGATCAAGTCGACCCCTGTGTAGTAGATGTAGGCTAGGGGCCTGCACTTGCCGACCTCATTTTCACAATTGTACATAACCCTCTCCATAAACCCGGACACCTCGTCGTCAACGTAAATAGTTAGATTTGTACGCAGATATTGAATATAGCCCTCGGCCCTGGTTCTAATGAACTCCTGGGAGCGCTTTATAGCTTCTTGTAGACCTTGCATTGTGTCGCCAAATGGCAGTCCTTCATATAGTATATCATTATCGATTTCTTTCAGTTTTTCCTTAATGTTTCTCATAAGGGTCATGATCTTGTCCACTAGATGAACATGGTATCGCTCCAGATCATTCGCTGCATTGGTCAAGGAGACTTTGGCTAGATCATAGCGACCCCAATCGCTTTTTAGGCTGGCCTCTAGCGCTCTGATATCCTGGATGACTTTGGGCAATGCAACGGGCGTTATTGCATTACAAAGATTTTTTATAAATATCGAACTATGGTAATCGGATAATTCGCCGTATCCTGCCATCATCAACTGAACGTGCTCCTCTTCCGTGAGGACCACAAATTCCTTGATATCCTCCTTGAAAATGGGTACCTTTGGCGGTGGGTGCTGAGTCAAAACCTCTAGTCGAACTAGTTCATCTATGTTGTAGACGTTGTTCTTGCGGAGCAGCTTAAAGACGGACTCATCGGCCTCGCATGCCTTAATTGCCGTCGACATTCGGAGTGGCACAGTTTCCCTTTCAGCTTGCCTTTTCCTTCTCATATCCTCACTGCGTTTCAATGTACGCTCGTTTCTGTCTATCAGTGCTCTACGTGCTTCCCAATCTCGTTCCCTTTCGATATCCATATTCTTCACGATTTCTGGCAAGAATTGATTGAGATCAATTAGCGGATCCATTTGCTGGAAAAAGGAATTATTCTCCTGATCGCGAAACGGAGCACAGACTCCTTGGTACGTCACCATGCCAAAGATATAGTAAAATAGTCCAACCAGCGATGTAAGCCAGAATACGCTAAATATCATAATAATGGCACTGAAGTAAGGAAGAAAATTGGTGTTAAAAATATTTTAGAGAAATAAACAGTAAGCATGGGAAATGCAGCTGGGGGATTGGTCTTAAAGCCACACAATTTGTATTATTGAGCCCATTGACCAGGAATTATATGTAGAATTACTTACAGTAAGAGGCATAAGGCGCCCGACCTTTTGCTCCAGAATCCATCGCGACCAAACCGCCTTACAGGTGTACAGCATCCAAAGACCAAGGCAACCATCAGCGCAGCGGCTATCTGTAACGGATTAGGGCAACGTGTAGTAGCCGTAGTTTGTTATCCCAATTCAACCTTACGATCGTGAGAATCACGAGCACTATGACATGGATGCCATTGCGCATGCTGCCAAACTTGGCGTCGACATCTTCGAGAGACTTTGTCGATCGGAGAGTGGTGAAGTGGATGCTGTTGATTACCCCATTAATTGATTCGGTCATGACATTCGACTCATCCCTGAACAGAAGCTCTCCAGCCTGCAGATCGGTCAATATAGGCGGTATGATCGGCTCTACGGCTTCGCTGATCTGCGCTCCCAAAACTTGAACTCTCTCGATTCCCTTGGTGGGTATTTCAGGTAAGCCTGTGTTAATCATATTTTCGACTGCAGTCACATAGTTGCTTACGTCCGGCAGCTGTCAGAGAGGAGAATATTTACAATATCATGAAGATCTTCGAAATGCAAATGCTTTCTTCTGCCTGTTTGATTTTAATTTTCAATGGATTCAGTGAAATTGAACTTACATCATCCAAATGCAGACAGGATGACGTATCCAGCATCTCGATTTCAGTTGTCTTCAAAAACTGCAAGCAACTGCGACTCGCACATAGAGTTGTACAGGCGTAAGTAATATCACGCTTGGCAGCACGAACGCCTAGCATACAATTAAATATCTATATAGCTTATATATAAATACACGCATATGTAATTTACCATCTCGCAATTGTGCATTATAGAACAGTAATTCGTCCTGCCAGAATTTGACAGCCTTGAAGTCAATTAGAGCCTTATTCAGTTTGCTCAAGATGAGCTCCAGGTCGAACAACATATTAGCCTGAGAAATATCCATGAGATCCAGAAACATGTGAGTGTGAGCATCTGAACGAAAAGTTAAATAAGATATCTCAGATAAAGTCTATAGACTGTAGAGTTTAAGATTTCAATAGCATTAAATTTATTTTCTACAGTTCTTACTTTTTAGAACATCATTCAGATGTGTCTGCATCTCCTGGTAGTTCTTGACGAGCAAATGATGAATATGCTGCGAGCAATCCTTTAGGAACCGGCACGTATCCTCGCTGCCGCGGCGCATTGTCTTCTGCGTATACTCGAAGCCGCGTTCCAAAGAGTTGTTCGCCGAATAAGCGAACAGCAAACCCAAACTGAGAAAGGACAACACTTGTAAGAGACCGCTAAGAGTATCTTTGCTTAAGAGTAAAACCTACAAAAGACCCAGCAGCAGAAAAGCGAGCAAAATGCCGTAGCCCAATCGCCAGCGATTATCCGACTGCAAATCGCAGGTGGGGCAGCCCCGAGCGCAGCGCTGCCAACCAAAGAAGCAGCAATAGCAAACGCTGCCAGGAGGATATATATATATATAAACACAATATATTGTCCTTTTCTATATGTATGCATACTTACCCTACGCAGGGCATTACTATAATGAGTATTATCAGAAATATCACCCAGAGCAGCGATAGCCAATATTCAGCCAGAAGATCCTTCCACTGATTTTCCTCTACCTTTGGACCCATTACCAGCGAGTCGCTCTTGACCACAATATAGCCTAAACTCGGTAAATCGAACCAGAAATTATATAAAAAAGTAAAGTTAGATGTGTATCATATTACCAGGCGGTATGGATCTATTGAACGCAGTCAAATTAATTAGAGACATGCTGAAGTCATCCAGCAGGTGTGTGATTGGAGTTGAGGGATCGCTATCTCTGGTATATGTAATATTCGTCTCGTATTTCGAATATACAGTGGAGGGAAAGTGCGATTGTCCCATATGCTCGTGTGTGCTATGTCGCTCCTCGTCCCACTTCTTTATTTTTGGTGTTACTGCGGCGACTATGAACATACAGCTAAGTCCACATATTGCCCAAAATTGTATGTTCAATCGTCTCATCTTGCAGTGACTCATATGTTTCGATATATGTATATAGTCGTTTGCCATAGTATTACGAGTTTTTGGAATATATAGGTATTTCTAGGTAACAATAGTTCTTCTCCGCGATTTTATCTCAACTTCATGTGAACCAATGAATATTCTTCTCATTTATACTTACGCACGTTTACTTTGATATCTATAATAAGGAGATTTTATGGGCTTTAAAATTGAAAGATGGTATTCGAGGATCAGATTGAGTTAGTTATTCAAGCATTAGAAACGGCTGATTAAGTTTAGTTTCGCTTGGAATAAAACTAATATAATTGATATTTATGAGTAAAAAATATATATATGACTTGCAAATCAAAGTTCATAAACCTGAACTACTGGGTGTTGGCATTTTTATGACCCCTAGAAGTATGCTTTGGAATTTCAGCGAATATCATCAAATCGATCTATCCACAGGCCAGTTCAGATGCAGCTCTATTGTTGAAAGCTCAAGGTTTTACATAGATCTTACTTACCGGCAATAGTACGGATGTTACTAATTGTAAACTATATAAAGAGCAGTCGTTACTGCTGGACTCCACTGATATTTCAAAACTGACTTTCATTTGGATAATTTTGCTGTGACAATTGAGGCACAGGTTGCCAAAGAGAATCGAAGAGACGATAGTTATGTAATTTATATTTTAATATATATTTTCACAGTAATTGTTTTTTGTTTTTTATTTTTGTTGTAGCATTTAAAACTTTGATTCCATACTATTGGCTTATTGTAAAACACTAAAAAATGACATAGGCAGACAAATTCATGAGATGTACGTAAATAATAGAAAGAGAATAATTACATACATTCATAAATACTTCTTGGTTTTTCATTTTCATTTTCATTTCTTATTTTTGCTTAACTAAAATACATATTTAATACGTGTGTGTGTGTCTGTATGTTTATGTGTGTGTGTGCAACTTTTTATAATATAATTTTGTATATTATCATTATAATTATAATTTGTATTATTTGGCTACTTGCAGTTTGCCCCGAATTTGATTAATAATTAAAAACATTTTTGTTTTCTGTAGAGTTGAAACATTTGCTTAGTCAACTACACGACAATTCAAAGTACGTACATATTATATAAAGGTTCGGTTTTGCTTAAGGAAGTCGGGTATATTAGTTTCAAACACTCGTAATTCAAATGCATTGAGAAAAAACTTTAGCCGAGAGCAAATTCTGTTTCTGTTTTTCCGTTATTTTATTTTTGCCTGCTCAGCTTCGATCTGTTCCACTAACTTAAAATGGCAGTTTTTGATTTTAAATATACACTAACCGTATATATATACATATATATATATATAACTGGCTGTTGCATAACATTTTCTTTCTTTCTTTTTTTGCTTGTATATTGATTATATTGTGCATTTATGAGATACTGTCAAGGGAGATTCCTTGCTCAAAGCTGTGTGAGAATTTTTCAGTTATTCTCTTTCAAGTGTTGTTGGGATATTTATGGTCTTCATGTTGTTGTTGTTCTGTTTGTTCTAAACATTAAACTTATTAAATGCTTTAGCTGTGCATATACATCAATCGTTTATCAACCCAATGCATTGCTTTTATTCCATCAAACTTTTCGCGCTCGCTTTTCATTTGGCAACATTTTTAATGTGTAAAATTTTAAACAATATATTTATATATATATAGGGGACTATGTGAATTATGTTTGTCTCGATCCGTGCTTATAATCTAATCTTTACTAATTCCGCGCCAACTACAACTCACATTCCACGCGCTGGCAGATCGTCTGATACAGTTCGAAAGAAACGCATATGTATATATATATTTGTATATATATAAGATATTAACTCACTTGTGATGCTACAAATTACATAACTCTAAATAAAAAACTAACTTCTCAACTAAAATTACAGTCTCAGTAAAATTGGGTTGTTGTTTTTGTTGTCAAAATGAAATTCATGCGTCATTCATGCCATCGACTCCAATCCACTCCACTCCACTCCACTCCACTCGACTTCATTTCACTCCACTTCTCTTCTATTAAAGCCATCCCAACAAAGTTCTTGAATGAATTCATCCGGTCTCTAATCCTGATCAGAGGCACCCGGATAATAATACGGCGGTGGTCGCTCGTATTCGGATGATGGTGGTGCCACGGGTGGATTGTGATAGCGCGGCGGTTCGTGGTCCCAATGTCTGTGAAGCAAAGAAATGAGAATAGGTTAAAGATCGAAACATTTCACTCTCAGCACAACACAAAAAGTAACAAAACCAAAGAAGAAACAACAACTGCATTAAGAGCTTGGTTTAGTTTGTGTTTTTGTTGAACAGCCGCAGTTAGTTGCATTCGAAGTTGGGCAATGGAGTCAGACATATAAATATATGCATATATGTATACATATATTAACTAGGCAGCAAATTGTGTAATGAGTTTGGATATGAAGCAAATGAGAGGTTTTCCAGTTAATGCTCATCAGACTGGCCATGGATACATAAATATATATATACAGTAAAGCTTCTCTATCACGGCTTACAAGGTTATTTTAACAATTACAATTTAAATGTTTACTATTATTTATATTAATATATGTAAATAAAAATGTTAATTAAAAAAAGGTATTGATCATTTTAAAATTTAAATAAATCATATATGATGAACTCTAGCTAATTCCTCTGGGGATCAGATAGGCTATACTGTATATACAACAATTGACATATGTATATGAATTGCAAACAATAGCAACACACATACGCTAACACACACACACACACATACACATTGCATGTTGTGGGCAGTCACATAAGCAAATAATATATACTATGTACAGAAACCAAACCATTTGCAATTCGAGTCATGCCTAAAAGAAACCATCTGTCGCCAGTGCTCTGGGCCTTGTATCAAGGGCCACGACTTTAGCGCTAAATAAAATGAAACCAAAAAGTAGCAATTAAATTTAGCCGGCCATTTAGATGATATAGATATGTAGATATATGTATATATGTAATTAGCCACTGTATAAATGCAGTTAATATGTGTGTTAATTGAACCATCTGGTAGCTTTGTGTCTAAATATATCTTTGTATCTCTGTTTCTTTATATCTCTGTACTTCAATATCCATTGAGAGGCAGCGCTTGTTGTTGTTGTTGTTGTTGTTTGTGTTTTGCTTTCTGTCTGATTGACTTACGTGGGTGCCACATCGTTATAGCGCATATTGCTGCTGCCAGCAGCTCCGTCAACACCACCGCCACCACCGCCGCCATTGGAGCGTGCCCCACGCGACACACTCGGAGATGCTTCCTCATAGTATTCCTGCTGTTCGCGTCTTCGGTCGTAGGCCTTGCGTCGCTTCTTTGGCACACTGAAATCAAAAACAGAAAGGAGCAGCAGAAGAGAGCATGAAGTGAGTGTGTTGACTGTGGAGCTGCTGCTTCTGATTAATTCTCTTACTTGGCCAGTGGCACATGTTCGCGATCGCGCTCGCTATAGGCATCATACAGATAGTCGCTGCTGCGATAGTGCAATAAGTGTGTGACATGGCAAGGCATGGCATGGCATGGCATGGCATGGCATAGCATTGGTTAGCAATGGAATGAGAATGAAAGTAAATTGTTAACTATATCCGATTAGAGCGTGCAAACAAACACAAGTGTGATTTCGATTATGTTGAGGCCAAGCGAAACGAGCGTAACAAAATTTGTCTCTCATTTGCCCAACGACAAAACATGCGAATAGGTCCGAACATAGCAAGGGTAATTTACGCCACTTACCCGCCCTCGACTACGGCTACGGGTGGCGCCGAATACGGATCAATCTTCTTGTAGAGGCACAGCAAGCGATGGGCCACAAGGAGTACGGGCGGGAAGAGCACGGCACACAGCAGCACGCCCACCCAGAAACCATTCTAAAGGAGAAATCGAAATTATTGATTCAATAGAYATACAGTTATAGTTATAGTTATGCAACTCACCATTGGATCGACTAGACGATGACAAATCAGATCCACACTTCGATCATAAACCTTGGCTAGGGGCGCGCATTTGCCAACATTTGCATGGCTTTTCTCTACCACCATTTCCATATAATGTACGACCTGCTCCTTGATATAGCTAGTGAGATTTTCACGCAGTCCACTGACATATTCCTGGCCATGATCTCTAAGGAAGATCTCGGAGCGCTCCGTTGATTCGTGCAGTTGTTTGATGGATTCGCCAAATGCATTTCCGTTATACAATATCAATTCGTCAATCCTTAATAGTTTCTCGGTCATTTTGCTAATTATTGTTTTGATTTTCTCAACAAATTCGTCGTGATATCTCTGCAGGTTGTAGGCCTCATTGTACAGCGATGTTCTGGCCCAGTCATAAATGCCCCACTGAGTCCAAAGGCTGGTGCGGAACTCCTTCAGCTGATTGGCAATGGTGGGCAGATCGACAGGCGTTAACTGATTGCACATATGCTCCGTGAACACCTTGCTGTGATAGCTGGACAGATTGCTGTTGCGCAGCAGCTCGAGATCTCGTTTGTCCTTCTCCGTAAGTATTGTGAAGTTATCTAAATTGGCCAATAAAATTGGCACTGACGGCGTATCGCTAATCACTTTTACGCGGACCAGATTATCAATGTCATATAAATCGTTATCTTGCAGAAGCTTAAAAATGGAGTGATCAGCCTGGCAGGCCTTGATGACGTTCGAAATGCGTAGGGGCTTCGTCGACTTGTGCTCGCTCTTTGGCAAACTACGATTGAGATCTATAAGTGAGTTGAGCTGACGGAACAGGGCATTCGATTCCTGATCTCTGAGCGGAGCACAAGCGCCCTGATAGCTAACGACGCCCAGGACAAAGTATGTTAGGCCAACCATAACGATTACTGAGAAGACGCAGAATATCAATAGCATGGCACTGAAAACCGCAATTATTATTGATTAATATTGATTATCATATTTAATGTATTTCAAGTACTCACAGTAGCAGACAAGAGGCACCTGTACCCTTGCTGCAGCAATCATCGCGATAGCCACGACGACGGCGTCCACAGCAGCCGCAAATAAGAGCAATTATCAGAAATAGGAGAATCTGCAACAGATTATCGGATGAGTATTGATATATAGCAAGGCTTCACTTCAGACTTACAATCAACAACACAAAGCAAACAATCACATTGATAATGCTTCGGTCGGCCCCAAATGTATCGTATACATCATCAAAGGTCTTGGTCACCTCGACAGTATTGGAATGTATGCTGCCTATGGCCGAATCGATTATGTTGCGTACGT